GTTCACAATTGTTAACAAGTTTCTCGTATGCGAAACGCCAAAACATCCATGAACATTGTGCTTTTTTTTCTTTTGACAGCTGATTTTTTTTTGCATTGACGCTAAGTTTTTACACGGCAAGACAGATTGCCCTCAAACATTACATTTTATCAGAGCTTCAAGATTATTGAAGCTATTATGATGCCCTTTACATGTGCTTCAAATCCCGGGTATGGCGTCTACATTTTCTATGGAGTCAAACATTTTCGCCGCCGGTTTCTCTCGATTTGCGTGCACGTTAAAAAACGCCATGTTGCCTAAGTTTCTGGAGCACTCCACTACGGCATCTTTCACATTCACGTCGTATTTTGGAACGAGTGTTGCATTAAAGCCTCTCTTCACCAGAGAACGGCTCTTTGTTCGCGCTGCCACCGAGCATTGGAGTCATCGAGGAGTGCCCATTTGGAACCTCAAACACGTTCCCTTCTTATCTAGGGTTGAAGCTAGTCGGGAAGAGGGAATCAGGTGAATTTTTCTCTCTCTACATTTGTTTTTATCTCTTTCTTGCTCACTTAGCCTATGGTGTTCTTTACCCTTTTTCATACTGCTTTGACTGGCCTCAACCTCACGTCTGAGATCTTTTCCCTCAACTCCTTTTCCGCATGTCTTATTTGAATGTTACGCTCACTTTGCATTTTTCTGCCCTTTATTATGCTTGTTTCCTTCCCCAAATTACAACAAACTTAAACATTGAAATATATACAAATTACAGCCAGTATATGTTTAGAGTTCCCGTAATTACCGGGAAGAAACATCGTTCTCAGTTGAGGAAATTCAAAAAAAAAGGTTTTCCATGAAGGTAGATTTAATCAACTGTACTCTTGACCATGCATATTGCTGCTTGTTGGCGAATAATGTAGTTTGAAGCTAAAAATACTTTTTATATGAAGTGGCGTTTGCTACCTTGGAAGCTGTCTGAATTTTCCAAGTTTTATTTCTAAAAATATACTTCTTCAGAAGGTTCTTCATTAAAGCGTGTGGCTGTATCGGAAGTATAAAAATGTAATTTTTAAGCCAATGACTTACGTTCTCAAGTAAAGTGAGATAGTTTATTTTTCAATCAAATATACCTCAATTAATGTGCCAATGCTATCGAAAAAACCGGAATCTTGGTCCATGTCTTTAAATTATAGAGTCAGATTGTGTAGGGTTACTCATTGTGCTTGTAGGTCGAGCTAACGCTTTCGAAATTCCGAATTTATAATGTAGCTGATGTGACCTTCTTTTATAGCACTACGCACGCCATTTCACAGTTGGTAAGATCCTAGCCTCTCTAGGATTCCATGTCATATGAAGTTATTGGAAAGTGGGGGCCTCCACCGCTTCTTTTTTTTATTGGTTTCAGTCAAGCGTTGTAAGTTTCACTGAGCTCTTTGTTAACTTTATTTGTTATAGTTGGTACGCAGAGAGGAATTTCTTTCCCGGGGTTTCGGCTAAACTTGTGCAAGGCCTTGACTATTTGAGGAAAGCGCATTCTTTCAGGAAAGTAACTATTTGAATAAACAAAAGTGTGGGAAGAAGCATGAGCTCCTAGACAATGCCTCTTCCTAGATTCGGCTATGACACAAATTTTGCCAACGTGGAATCAGCGAAAAACACACGCACACACAAACACACACACGCACACACACACACACAGAGAGAGAGAGAGAGAGAAGCTACAGAAGAAGTAACGTTAAATAAAAAAACAGGAAACCTTCGCTCATGGGTGTGCTCAGATGGGCACGGGAATCCGTGGCATTTTTAGAGAGGTGCCGCAGTGCGAATAAAGTTCGCCTTTTTTCATCCTCTTCTATTTTTTTTCGGTCGGAGGGGTATCAGGTGGACGGCGAACGGAGATCCATCAATGAGTACAGCAAAACACACACACACACACACACACACACACACACACACACACACACAAAGACACCTGGTTGATTGCATCATCAAGCAACACTGGCAGGGCAAGCATTATATTTTATTTTCGCATCGTATACGGTAAATTAGGCAACCCGGATGATTTTCGTGAAATACGAGCGAGAGGAAAGGAACAGGCTGGTACTTGATGCAAATGTCACCTGAAACTCAAAAAAATCAATTCCGTAGTTTAACCAAGCTTCATGCAGTCCCAGACAAGCTTCCAAACCATCCAATTCAGGGTTAAAAGTGCTGAAATTTGCGCGCGTTCGTATTCGAACACACTGAGATTTAGAGCACGTAAACATCCAATAATTGAAAGACAGAGTTTTATAAATGAGCGTTCACCTCAAACTAAAACCTATTCGCAGAAAAGGCTATGTTTTCTCCCGCACCGATCACGGAAAAATATGCTGAAGCTACAAGTACAAAAAGGAAACACTGGAGAAAAGTTATCACCTCATAATTAAAAACGCAAAAAACAACAAAAAATTATTACGTGCCTCTTACGCATGAAGACATCATACAGAAAAACTGAACAACTGAGGTCAGAGACCACACATGTCGTGGCAAGCGAGCGAGTGGCTATCGCTCAGCTGCTCTCAGCGTCAATAGTTCATGTAGGCAAGCCACTTCACTGATTAGTAAGGTGATAGACGGCTGGCTGAGGCACGTGGAAGAATTTTGGTGGATATGGACAGCTTACATTATTTCTCTTGTTGTCCTCTTTTTGTGCTGAAACTAACGGAAGTATCTGAACTCTGCAATGCACCCAGCCCGAATGTTAGGCTAAGGGCGCACAACAGATCCCTAAAAGGCACCATATATACACACCTCAAGCGTCACTATGGAGAAATGGAGCGAATTCTAGAGTTCAGCAGTACTTTTGTTCTTTTCCTGCGCAAACGCAGCACAAGAAGATAGATAATGAAAGCCTTTTATATCCACATAAATGCTTCCACGTGCGTCAGCTAGCCCCCTATTAACCTACTAATCGTTGAAGTGGCTCACTTAAATAAGTTTTCGACGCTGAAAGCGGTCCAGCGATAGCCTCTCGCTTGTTTGCCATGACATGCGCGGTCTTCAACCTCAGTTGATTGATTTTTCTGTATGATGTCTTGATTCATACGAGGCATGTGGGTATTTTCGTTTCTTTTGCGTTCTTTTAACTATAGTTGATAGCGGTCCTCCAGTGTTTTTTTTTTAGATTGTAGCTTGACGCATGCGTTGCCGTGTTCAGTGTGGAATGAATCCTGGCCTTTTCAGTTATTCAACTTTAGCTTGAAGTGAGCGCTCGTCTTTCTATCTCTGTCTATCGTTTCTTGTCTGTATTCGCATTCTAAATACCACCATTAATTCAAGTGAGCCATGATCGTCGTCGACGTCATCATGATTATCCTCATCATCAGCCTGACTATGCCCACTGCAGGACAAAGGCCTCTTCCATGATCCGGAAATCAACCTGGTCTAATGCTTTCTGCTGCCACATTATACCTGCGAACTATTTATACTCATCGACCCACCTAACTTGCTGTCTCTCCCCGCGTGCGTTTGTTTTTCTGAAAATCCAATAAGTTACCCTTATTGACCAGTGATTATCCTGATTACATTCTACGTGCCTGGCTCAGGTCCGTTTATTCTTCTTGATTTCAACTCTATTATCTTTAACCGCGGTTTGTTCCATGGCCCACTCTGCTCTCTTCTCAACTTTTAAGGTTACTGTGCACTGCTGATGTCTCCACTGCGTCAAACCCCTTCTCCTAATGTACGAAGGTTAGGCATAGGATTCCGCTCTATTCCGTGTATTTCTTTATAGCCCGATTGATAGTATGAATATGGTCTATTGTGGAGTAGCCTGTACGGATCCTCCTTCGTTCGTTGGTTGACTGAACTCTAATGTCACCTTATTTCAATTAGGTATCACTTTTGTAAATTCTTGTAGAGAACGTATGATAGGGTGATATGCATGCAATTTTTCTAGTCATTATTGTCTCCTTTGTTATTGATTGAGATGATGTTGACGTTCTTCCAATATTTTGGTACCCTTCCCTTCAAGAGACACTTCCGGTGTAAGATGAGCCTTACCGAACAGTAAAAAGGAGCCATAAGCAGTTTCAAGAAAGCAGTGCAATAAACAAACTTTCGTTGCACATCAACGTATCTCCAGGGTCTCTTAAAATACACATATTAAAGAAGAACTTCTGTGCCCTACGATGACTCACAATTATAAGAAACGTTTGCATACTCTGACAGAACTACCATTTCTTTTGTGTGTTCATTGGATTGCTTGACGCTGCTGTGGTTCCTATTGGTGTAAAAGCCATGACCATGCTTTCGAAAGTGGCGGGAACAGTGTGCGCTGCGTTAAGCAAATGTTCCCGCGGAATGTTGATGAAGTATATATTGTTGCTTGTTCACTTGGAATTTACTCTCCAGGCAAGTTCACTAATATTTTCTCGAGTTGGCTTGATATGTGGGATTTAAAGAGCAAAACCACCATGTTAATGCGCGACAAAATTTTCATCTGCACCAGCTGCTGCAGCAAAGATAAGAGCCCGCGACATGCGGGCCAGCAGCTGTTTAGCCTATAGCCTCTAGACGACCACCATGGCAGGGCTATTCTCTAGGGCTGAAGGAACCAAGTGGCAGTCGGCAAAGTGATATCAAGACTTGTCTACAATCACTGGCGGTAAACTATCAAGAAATACAGCCATCGTCCGATCATGCACTATGGTTGGCGCCCCCCTTTCCTGATATTTGTTGGCCGCTATGTTAAGTGGCCCCACCAGGCTCGGCGGGCAACATTGGGCATGGCAGTCTAAATAAACACCGCCGAGCACAGCCACTCGGGGGTCAGTAACCATCTACCAGCCATAGCAGGTCGTCACTCTGCTGGAGGTTACCCCGGCCCTCCCAGGTTCACGAACGCGCACCAAATCGTGACACTGGCGACGAAGAAAGAAGCCCGCGGAGCGACCGAAGCCACCGAGAACGCCGACACCGCCCACCACGTCGGCCGCCATTACGCCATGCCGCTCTATGGGAGGCTCTAGCCGTTCCAGGGTGATGGGTCCGCCTGGCCAGTCTACGAGAAACAGGTCAGCGTGTTTTTTCGGGCGAACGACACCGCTCTTGAAAAACAGCGCGACATCTTCCTGGCCAGCTGCGGGACCCGCGTCTTCGGGCTCCTGCTCGACCTGCTAGGGCCAGCCACGCCGCATGACAAGTCGCTAGGTGAGCTGCTCGCGACGCTACGCTCGCACTTCAGCCCGGCCCCGTCGACGTTAATGGAGCGCTTTCGCTTCAACAACCGGAGCCGCCGAGATGGAGAGACGCTAGGGAAGTTCGTTGCAGCGCTGCGAGGGTTAGCGAGCGGCTGCGCCTTCAGGGAGCAGCTCGACTCGCTGCACCGGGACCGTTTCGTCTGTGGCATCAACGACCCCGCCATGCAGAAGCGACTCCTGGAGCTTCCCGACCCCTCGCTGGACGACGCGGTAAAGGCAGCGCTGGCGAAGGAAGCAGCGGCCAAGGACGCGAGCGAGCTAGCACGCGCGGCCGGCTCACCGTCGACGGAAGCGGCAGTGAACAAGATGGCGACTCGGTGTGCAAGTGCAGTCGCTGCGGTGGTGACCACACCCTTCCCCCCCCCCCAAAGTGCCAGTTCGTGGAATTAGAGTGCTTCACGTATGGAAGGACTGGGCTCATTGTGCGGGCGTGCCGAGGGTGAAGATGGACGGACGGAAGCAGCCGTCGTCAAGCACGTGTTCCACGCCAGCACACGGCCAAGTCAGTCGACGCAAGGGTAGGCGGCAGGGGCGTGCGGCAGCAGCTTCGGGTGCCACGGCTAGGCTTCGCGTCATGGTCGAAGACCCGCAGATTTTTTACGTGTGGCACACGGACATGCGTCAGTCGTGTGTGCCACCGTATATGCTGACCGTCGAAGTCTGCGGGCGTCCCATCTCCATGGAGCTGGACACAGGGGCCAGTGTGTCAGTGATGGCGCGAAGGCCTTCAAGCGCACCTTCCCGGGCGTGCCGGTCGAGGCGTCAGGCGTCATGCTGTGCGGCTACTCCGGACAGCTCGCTCAGGTAAGGGTCAAGCCCAGGTCAGCATCCGCCTTGGTGACAGGGAGGTCACCCTGCCCCTGTACCTGACCAAGGGGCCATCACCGACGCTGCTGGGCCGGAACTGGATCCAGACATTGGGTGTGCGGCTGCCGGAGTACCAGGAAGCTGTATGTGCGGTGGAAGATGTCCCGAACCTCCTGACCAAGTTTAAGACCCTGTTCCAGTCCAGGGTGGGCACATTCACCGGAGCGGCGGCGAGCATTCATGCGCCAGACGGAGCAAAGCCCCGGTTTTTCAAGCCGCGCCCACTGCCGTTCGCCCTGAAGGACGGGGTCACGCAGGAGCTGCAACGGTTGCAGCGAGATGACGTCCTGGTGCCCGTCAAGTCTTCAGAGTGGGCCGCTCTCATCGTGCCCGTCTTCAAGCAAGACGGCAGTCTAAGGATCTGCGGGGACTTCAAGGTCACCATCAACCCCGTCGCTACCGTGGAGAAGTACACGCTGCCACGCATTGAAGATCTCTGGTCGGCGCTGTCAGGGGGACAGAAGTTCACCAAGCGTGACCTCAGAGATGCGTACCAGCAGCTGGTGCTCCAGCAGTCGTCCCGGAAGTATGTCACCATATCGACAACGCTGGGACTCTTCTAGTACACGCGCCTACCGTTCGGCATAGCCTCAGCTCCTGCCATTTTCCAGAGGGAGATGGACAACGTGTTCAGGGGCGTGAGGCACGTGGTGGTGTACTTGGACGACATTCTGGTGACCGGTAGAGACGACGACGACCACCTGCAGAACCTACACAGCGTCCTGGCACGATTGCAAGATGCCGTGTTGAAGCTCAAGCTGGAGGAGTGCATCTTCTTGGCCCCCAGCGTTGAGTACCTAGGCCATGTCATTTCTCTGGCAGGCCTGGCCGCGGCACCTCGCAAGGTTGAAGCGGTGCTCAAGGCGCCCAACCCCCAGAACAAGAAAGAGCTTCAGAGCTAACTCGGCCTCATCAAATTCTACAGGACCTTCCTGCCGAACCTGTCGTCGCATCTGCAGCCCCTCCATCTTCTGCTTCGAGATGGACAGCAGTGGGCCTGGGGGAAGGAACAGGACTTGGCCTTCCAGCGCAGCAAGTAGCTTATCACCAAGGCTCCAGTGCTGGTGGACTTCGATCCGGCCAAGCTTGTCGTCCTGATGGTGGATGCGTCACTGTACGGTGTGGGAGCCGTCCTGGCCCACCGGGAGAAGACTGGCCAGAAACGCCGCATATCGTTCGCGTCCCGTCGGCTCCATGCTGGAGAACAGCGATACAGCCAATAGAACAAGGAAGGCCTGGCCCTCATGTTTGGGGTTGAGCACTTCCACCAGTACCTGTGGGGCCGGAGGTTCGAGGCGGTCACTGACCACAAGCTGCTGCTGAGACTGCTGGGGCCCGACAAGGCTGTTCCAGTGCAGGCGGCGCCTCGAGCGGTGCGCTGGTCTTTGAAGCTCGCGGCCTACAGCTACTGGTTGGTCTACCACCCGGAGAAGGACCTGGCACCTGCTGTACCCGGTGCACAAGTTTAACGAGCAAGAATGCATATAGAGAGAGCACCTTTAGAGCCCCACTACACGTGCACGGTCATGTTCTCTGAAAAAGAACAATGTATGTACCTGTACCGAATATTGCATTGTGGACGCCGTGCGCTTCCTATATCATCTTCCCCAAGAAACATTACAAATAGAAAGGAATGTTTTCTCGGAGCTCATCAGAGCTACGAGCAGCCGCATCGTCCGGAGTGCCTGGAGTGAGCAGTTGATTAGGGAAGGGACCTCCCTTAATACGTCACGGAGTGTTTGGAGAAGCTCAGAAGAGCACCGACATCCCTCCAGAAGGTTCTCGTCGTGAGAATATTTTTTAGTGATTGTCGGCCTTAATGAGATATTTAACCTCTTGACCCATCTCATTTTGGTTTATGTTTAGCAAGTGGGTACCGAACTGGATGCCGTTTACGCGCTTAGAAAATAGTTTCTTCTATTATGAAAAATGCGGTGGCTTACTTCATCGACTTGGAAGCCATACATTCAGCAGTTGGTATGCACAGTGTACGCAACAGAAGCCGTTCTTGCAGGTACTTAGGCATTAAAAAACTTGGTTTAAAGAATCAACATACAGTATTTGTAATTAACGTTACACGTATGAAAATCGTGCACCATCTTTCGTTCGAGAAACATTGCGATGTGTACTGTTTTGTGTAGTCAGGAACGCTTAGCAACGTATTGGTAATAGATTCCCCAGTGGCGCAATTGGTTAGCGCTCTGTACTAAAGTATTGGTAATGGAGTTTTTAAGCTTGAAGACATACGTAGCAGAGCTTACAATTTTGTCGACTCCTGATTTTGCAACTGGTATAATTGTCCTGAAAGAGAGACGCCAACTCTTTTCGTGTCTATGACTGCCCAATACACGAGTGTAATTATCCCTATTAAGGATTCACGTGTCACCCGACTTAGCGTCATGTACTAGCACATTAGTACATATAGAAAAAAAGTCTAACAACTCCAAGCTCCTAGAGTGAATCTTAAGCCATAAATACTAACAACAATGTGCAACGAAAGGCTTCCAAATGTCTACAGTAAATTTGCCAAGAGCCACTACAATTTGCATAACTCATTAAAATACCGGCTCGGCGCTTTGCTGAAGTTGTTGCGGTCAAACGTATCTTTCACTTCTGGACGCGCAACTTAAATCCGCCTGTCAGTTGACTTTTACACAGAATATTTTTTAGTAGTTAGTTCATTATTTCATTCGAAGAAGAGTAAATGACGTTGGTAATCACATACGCGTGTCCTGAAAGCATATAAATAAAGTGAAGCATATTTAATTGCTTACGCCAGAGAGATTTACCTAAGTGCTTAATTTGATATGAGAAAATAGGTTTCATTTTTCCTAAACTATTCCGGCGTGTTAATTCTTTCAAAGCACTTTAAATGCTTGGATATGCTTTAAATATTAGATTGTATGGCACACTAGTATTTCACTTTTGTAGTGACTATCAGTTGGGTCTTTCGGTATATGATCATGACGGTGAAACTCACGGTAGAACGGATACTTCTGCAGTCTTATGTGGTTGAGAAGTGCCTATCTTTTCTAGACTTCTACCATCATGAAGTTGCTTGCCGGTTGACGATTTGAAGGTCTACTTAGCAAATATGTTGTTTTTCTTGCACAGAGCTTATAAATTGAGAAAGCTGCTGTTATTTTTGCTGTATTACGTACAACGGTTAAGAATATCTTAGTGCGAAGGCATTTTCACATTTTTTTGGCTACAGATTTCCGTTCTTTTATGACGCCTCGTAAATTTTTACGCATGGTACGAGCTTTGTTTTTTAGCAATCAGCATATTGACCCTCTAATATAAAGAGTACGCAAACTGACGAATTCTAAGGTAATTTTCAAACGATAAGGACTTCCTTTGCAATGTGAAAAAATGTCTTGCTCGGTCTCACAAAACGAGCGCTCAAAAAAGGGTGTGGCGCCAAATTCTCGTGACGAAGCACCCGAGAGATGCCTCGAGGTCAACGATAAAAAAAGAGAAAACAAGTATCCAAAGACTCCCCGGGCGCGCATCCCTCTCCTCTCGGAAGCGTAGGTTCGCCGACGATCACATCGGCGGCCGAGCAAGCCTTGGAAAATTCCCGATGGAAAGGGGCGTGGTGCTGCCGGGTTGCGTCATCTGTCGCGGACGCCCGTCGAACCGTCTCGCGCTTTCCCCCCTGCCTTCGCTGCGCATCGCGCCGACGAAATGATGAGAATTTTCTGGAATCTCGCGCGGAAGTTATTTAAGCGAGCAGCAGAGATGGGAGATAAGGAGAAGAAGTGGGTTAGCGCCAGTGTGCGTGGGGTTATTCCGCCGCGTCTGTCGGTGAAGGTCTTTTCCTTAGTGACAAAGCGGGAGAAAAATAAAGTATGCGCCAGAGTACGTAGGGTGTTCCTCCGTGCCGTCGGTGAAGGTTTTGTCCTCAGTGACAAAGCAGGTGAAGAAGCAATATTGCGCCAGAGTGCGTAGGGTGTTCCGCCTTGTCGGCGAAACCTTTTGTCCTCAGTGACAAAGGAGGAGAAGAAGAGGATTTCCACCTGAGGGGTGAAGACTCGAGCTACAGGCAAAAGTGTGTGTCTACCGACAGCGTGTGAAGACGCGTGGCAACAGCTGCGTGTGGGAAGCCGACGTGTTACCGGCGAAGGAGTTTGGTTGTAGGAGAGCGGTCAATTGAAGACGCGAGGTTTCCTTGAAGAAAAACTTCGGGGGCAGCGGAAAGACAACAACGATTGACTTTGAGTGAGTAATTCTCAGAAGAGTTTCATTCAGACTTTTGTTCCAAGAACTTTGGACGGAATAAACTTTCTAACTCTTTAGTCTTTAAGTGTTTTGGTTGTTCAATGCATGCGACTGCATTGTAGTTCGTATTGTTGTCTGTGTCCGTTGTTTCGAGTGTGGCTGATTGTACTGTGTAGTACGTTGTTTGATTGGTGACATATTGTATCCAGCTATTGTCGAGTGTGCATACTTGTGTATTGTTTTGTTCTGCCATAACTGAGAATATAATTTTGTTTTGTTTATCAACTCTCGGCTCTGACTTGTTCTTTGGGCCACAGCCGGCGTCCGCTGGCGCGCCAAATAGGACCACTTCTAAATTGTCCACGCTTTCGTGGTGTGGTTCAGGCGGCCGATACTTCAGCCCTTGGAATTAGCCCGGCGATCGCCTCCCTAATTAACGGGACCTGTGACACTCGGACAGTCATATGAGTTTTACATTAGAGCTGGGACTGAACTAAAGTAAATGTATTGCTCTTTGCAGTAGTATACTTTCCTTTCGGGTCCGCCATGATGGATCAGTTGCTACGGCACTCGGCTGCTGATCCGAAGGTCACGGATGCGCGGTCGCATTTTGGTGGAGACAAAATGGTAGAGGCCCATGTACTGCGCGATGACAGCGAACGTTTGACAACACCAGATGGCCAAAATTTCTGTTGTCTTACATGGTAATACCGTGACCTTCGGACGACAAATTTAAGATCTTATAAGTGTTACTTCACTGTCAGAAGTATTCCTCTCAGATGCTACAAAAGGATCCTTTCAGAAAGTAAAAATAGAACTCTCCTATTATCCTTTTTTTTCGTTGCCAAACCTATTTGAAGTAAAGAGCGCGAGCCTTCCTCCAGCAAAGTCTTTACGAGCTATTGGTGTACCTACGAGGCGATAATTGCATTTCAACCAAACCTAGGCACTTATTTAGAGTGCCTTACTTAAACTCCTCACATGCACAGTGAATATAGTTTGAGTTCGCATGCATTTGCTTTTTCTTTGTGGCAGCAACACCTGCAAGGCACGCGGGACAAGTGCATGCAATTCATCCACAATTTATTTTATTGTCCCAGGAATACCAAAAAATCAACAACAGCAAAACGATGGTGAAAATATCATACAGGTTCGAACACTAAGCAAAAAAAATATGCATGCTCTTCTTTACCTCTGATTTCAGTTTGTTGTTTTTCTTTGCCTCGAAAACTCGGGATACAGATTCTTATACTTCTCCCGCAATCGCATCACTTGTTCCTTTTTTCTCTTATCTACTGGCTTCATACACACGGGTGAATAACCTGCAAATTGATGCGGGTGC